ATGATCAGACTACTGGCTTTAGACTGAATTGTATTGTACTAACCTATATCTGTTCAAATATATTGTTGATTTTTTTTTGTGTGTTGTACTGGGGATAGAACTCAGGGCCTTCACACTGAGCTATTTTTTACTTTAATTTTGAAATGGTTTGTCAAGTCATGGTTACTCAGGCTGGGCTTGAACTTGCAATCATCCTGCCTCAGCTTCCCAGAGTGCTGGGGTTATAAGCATGCACTATTGCACATGGATTTTGTTATCAGAAAGTTAGAATCCCCTCGGTTTTTTTATTTTTCCAAGATTACTTTGATTGTTTCATATCTGCTACAATACCACATGGCTTTGTAGAACTAGCTTGTCAGTTTCTACAAAGAAGCCAGCTGTGATTCTGAAAGGGTTCATACTGAACCTGCAATTAATTTGAAGAGTGTTGCCATCTTATTAGCATTGCCTGCAATCTATGAACATGGTATGTTCTCCATTTATTTAGATCTTTAATTTCTTACAACAACAAACTGCAGGAAATTTTGGAAGTTTTGAGGGCATCAAAACAGCTTTCTTTGAAGATATTCCCCTCATATCAGTGTCCTGGGAGAGATGCTTCAATGTGCAGAGTCTGTCTAATGTCCAAGGCAGGTTGCAGCAGGAATGGACACATCCCAAGTCAGGGGAAGGGACCTGGGAATCATTCCCTCTGAAACCCTCCATCCTCCACAAGCCCGCCCAGATAGATGCGGTCTCATCACTGTAGCATGGTGAACAGTATCTTTGGGAACACAACCCTGTTTGTCTATTTTGTAAAAACTTGGAAAATGTGGATGTAATATGTAAACCTTCTATCTAGAAATTTGCAAATTGGAATTGTATACACAGTATATTGTTGCTTGCTTCACTGAATTTTATGTTTTGTAGTAACTGTTACAGGTATCTTTTCTCTCTCTACTGACAGCCATCACCATTCCAGTGCTGCGTTCTGCTGGACCCCAGCAGTGATGTGGGGCAGTAAGGAACTTGACCCTGTCACAGTGGAAGCATGCACTTTGGGTTCAGAACGACCTAACGAGCCAGGTGCACAAATGCTCTGTGCCTCCTGGGAATGGTCTCATGGGGGCAGCTTAGTAGGAGACACCTGTGGTCCCTTTTGACCCTTTGTATCTTTTTCTGCCAACACTTGTGACTTTGTTGTTCTTTGTTCTAATTCTGCCCCCAAAATCATGGGTCCTGTTTTCCTCTTCCTTATCCCATTATCCCCACTGTCATGTTGCCATCACTAACAGAAACTAACTTGGACCAGTCCTTCCTGTGTGCTGGATGGCAGGCTAAGCTCTTGGAGCCTAGTCCCTTTGGCTCTACCTCAGCATCAGCACCATCCTCCTGCTCCTGGGAGCAGGAGGGAGCACCCCACACTGCAGACCCTGTATGGATCCAAGGCCACCTGCGTACATGGCACCCAGGTCCCATTAGCTTCATATATGGGCCATGTGTTGACCCGAGGAAACAGTTGCAAAACCACAGGGACCCAAATCTTCAGAGGCCTCTTGGTGGTTGCAAAGACCAAAGGAAAAGTAAGTCTCTCTTCCTAGTTTCGGGAGTGTGGGTGTTTGACCTAATTTGTGTCCTGAAGCAAGGCCCTCTTGCACCCCTTGACATCAGCAGGACAAGCTGCTTTCCAAGCGATCTGAGCAGATTCAGGCCCTTTAAGTTCCTCAAGAGACTGGCTGGGATCTTGCCAGAAAGTATGATCTCTCTCTGCTCTTCTCTCCAGATTCTTTCTCTCATTTAATTCCTAAGGATACCTGAAACACCCATCAGTGAAAAGGCTATAGAGCTTTGAAGGTTGGAGACTGTTGGGCACCCATAACCCTGGTTGGTCACCTCATCTTTCTGAGCTGCATTCTCATGGCTGAACATAGAGCCTCGGCCTACCCAGGTAGGTCCAGGTAGGCAAGTGGAGTGAGATGAATGGGCAAAGATCTCTGCAAGCCACAAGGGCTACAAAAGCAGGTATTTGCTGTTGGAGTGTGTAGAGATGCCTTAGTATCTGCTTGCTTCAGGGATGACAATTTTAAAAGGTGATCTCCAAGAAACTGTGAGCCAGAAATGGTGTTTACATCCTCCTGAAGTAATGCTTACGCTGTCCATTGTGTTCCTGGCCCCAATCTTTCCACGAGAAACAAAAAGCCCTTCTAGACCCACATGTCTCAGCTACCGAGTGGGCCTGTTCTTGGCTGCTAATTTGTGACTTGGCAACTCCAACAGAAGGGTGCAGAGGTCACAGCCATGTATGATCCCCCAGGACCTCAGGTCCACACAGAGTGCCCAAAAACCTTCCAAGAAGTAAGAGAGCACTGAGGAGACCCCACTACCTAGGGGAGACCTGGTTTAGGACAGACTATACACTGAACCCCTGGGCCTCATTCAGCTGACTTGGGGCAGGGAGGTTAAGGAGGAGTGGGCCAGGCTTTTCTCCTTGCCATTGAGCTCTAGGCGTGTGGGGACTGGGTACTTGCATTTCTGCATCCTGAGTGGCAGGTAGCCATGCTTTGGTGCAGATTGGAGGCAGAGATGACTGGAGACCAAACCAAGTGTACTAGAAACCCCAGGAGAATGTGTCTCTGCAGGCCACAGAAAGATCCCTAAGTGCAAAGTAGACTAGGAACCACTGTGAGTTTTGCTAAGGGTGACACCCCCAGGTTATTAAACTGTGGCTGGACTCACAGTGCATTAATCCCATTGTCATCATGGGTTCCGTCTGCAGGGACTGTGCTAAGCAGTCAACCATGCATGAGTCGCTACCCGGTCCACAGCACCATTTCCTCCACCAAGGAAGCCTGCTCCTTTCATCCCCAGGCCAGGGGCAGGGGGTGGGGTGGGAGTTGTGTCCCAGCCCCAGAGCAGGCCACTTGCTCCCTGTGAAACCTGCGGCTCTACACTGGAACATGACAAATAACCAAAAAATCAATTTGTAATCTGATTGGAGGTTTTTGATTTCCTCCGATGAGTTTAAATTTCATTAAAAGCAACCTTACTCCAACATAAAAGGAATCCTTGAAGGGTAAAACAGGGGATTGTCTCACGGAGTATAAAGCGTCCCAACTCTTTTGTGTGATTTATTCATGGCATTAATTGTGAGGGCCAACCCGTGGTGTCTGTTGGCAGCTGTGCCGTTATCAGGGCCTGGGATCGGCCTGGCGAGCTCAGAGCACAAGGACTCACATTCAAAAATCGCTCTTTGGCATATTGACACTTCAGTTATCAACAACCCTTTTTATCTGCGGGGAGGGAGCTCGTGGGGCCAGAATAAGCTACAAATCACCACCGTGGCCACCTCTCTGCATTCTCTTAATTGTATGTATTCTCTTGGAAAAAATGATCATCATGGCCTCTTGTCTTGATGAGAAATTGACATTTTCTGAGGACTTCTTTGGGCGCTCCAAGCAGGGAGATAAGCAGTGGAGTTGTTTTAAAGGAGGGCAGCCTTTCTTTCCTTTCAGGGGCCTCTTTATTGCTCCCGTTGACCCACTTGATGAGTATGGATTTCACGAGGTCTTTTTCAGCATTTGAACTATAAAAGGTTCAGAATGACACCACCCCTTATAGACAAAAGATAACCTTGCCCTTTGAATATATTGATTCTTTATTAACTAGGCTGTTTAATGCAATGAAATGAGGCATTAGATTGAAGCCCATTTCAAGTGCTTTGAATAATCTTTAAAAGCTTGAAAGACCTTAAAAGGCGGCCTGACAATAATTGGCATACATTTTGAGAGAATGCAGTCCTGACTTATGATTTGAAACACAAACATGAAATAATTTCTCTCTCCCTGGGTTACAGGGCCTTACCAGACCAGCCTCGAGAAGCAGGCATTCCTGGTACCAGCTCAGTGGGAAGGAGCTGCCAGGTCAGGTCCACAGCACCTTCCCCAGTTGGAGCCCCAAGCTGCTTGGGAAGCAGCCTGCGGGGAGGGGTGTGGGCAGTGGGCCGGCTGTGAGCTTGAACCCCACGGGCCTTTCCTTACTGTCTTCTTAAGACTGGAGTGAGACCACAGTCAGAAAAATCTGATTGTCCCCAAGACGAGAAAAAGGTATTCACAAGTTTATGTTTTGAATAATTGTTTCCTGTTTTGCTCAGCAGAACAAGTAATTAAGATGACATTTGTGAGTACTAATTTAGATCACACTTATGTGGATGTGTTACAGAGCTGCAAGCCAAAACATGCAAACCCAACCTTTCACTGAGGAGAAAATGGAAAATACTGAGATGAAGTGGGAGGGAGGTAAATGCGCAAACGCTGTGTAAATCAGAACCCACACCCTGGCTGGCTGACCTCGACTGAGTTGGTGCATGGGTTCCGCCCACACAGGACCATGGTGGCTGATACAGGATTTAGGGCCAGGCATGCATTGCGGTAGACATGAACAGTGATGGCATACCAGGGTGGACCCCAGCCAGCACTGGAGTCTGGGTGCCCCAGCATCTGCCCACATGCCTAGACCCTTGATGGGCTCTCCTGGGTCTGGTTTTTGCCCAAGTAGGGCACAGCAATGGAGACGGAGCCGGCACCTCTCTGGGGGAACGAGAGGTGGCACTCTTCCTGAAAATCCTCACGTGGTGGGGGCAGGGCTGGTGGGTGATCAGGCCCAGTGAGCCTCAGGGTTGTGTGAGTTTCAGAAACCAAAAATGGAACAGCGAGCTGTGGCATTCCAGTGCTACTGTGGTCCCCAAGGCTGAGATACAGAAATGCCCAGACCTGTAAGGGTGAGGACAGCATATGTCGAGGTGGTGCCTCTGGGGATCAGATGAGTCTGAGGAATTATCCTCCGAGTCTCTCCATGCAGTTGGGTGACGGAGGTTGGTAACTGGCAGGTTCCGGGAAGGATCATTTTGATCTTAGCGAAGACGCAGCTCGGGAGCCCAGGATGTGCAAATGAAACCCCCAACGGGACTCTGGCATGTGCTCAGTCATTTTAATAATCAAAACATAAAATTACGAAAAGTGAAATTCACAGACAAGAAATACTTTAATTAAATATTGTGTAAAATGAACATTTTTATACAGTTAAATATCTGAAAAAATGTACAGATAAAACAATCTTATTGTAGGATCTTTGACAGCAAAATCTACCATTTAGTGAAGCGCTCAATTTGGAGACAATGAAGCGATGAGGGCATCAACTAATCAACCTAGAACAAACCCAGTGCGGCACGAGGACACTTGCAGACGTTCTCGACATGTGCACGTGAGCTCTTTTTCAGATCAAACCCTTACTTACACGAAATGAAACGGAGGCAATTTAGTTCCAAAGTGACTTCTCAGGCTTTTCCACGTAGCTAAGCCTTGTCAGCTGTCACAAAGCCAGAGTGTAACCTGCTGACCGCTGGGGATATTCCCTTTGTTTATTTTATTGAGTCCACTGAATGAACACTCTATGTTGTGCATTGTTGTTTATTTTCATCAAAGTATTTTAAAGTCCCTCCTCTTTGTTTTAAATTTGATTTCTGCTGCAATTTGCAAAATGCTTGCTGTGCTGCTATACCTGCAAAGCATTTAGTGCAAGGTTGCGGGGGGGAAGGCCGGAGCCTTTTGGTCTCGATGTGGGTTGGCACAAATAGGCACCGTGTCTGAAGGAGGTCATTCCAGTTTAGAAAATGTGAGACAGTACTGTGGGATCTGATCACATAACTGTGCTGTTTAAAAAAGAAAAACATGAAAACCCAGCAGTGATTTTGGTTGCCCCTGAAATCTCTCTGAACCAAGGTGGGCTGGGGAGGATGTGGGAGGCAGCAGAGACAGACCCAGAAAGGAGCGACCTACAGACAGGAGGTTTGTGCTTTTGTGTTTGTGTCTGTGTGTGCATTGTACGTTGTAAATCTCCAAAAGAAATATTAACAATTGTGGTGTAAGCCTGTGATAAAACAGCACAGAAGTTCTTTAAAGAAGTCCACTTTTAAGGCATCAGAGAAGTTAATGTGGCAAACATTTTAATTAAAACATCAGAGTAGATTTCATTTTAAATTTTAGGCCTCTGAATTTTTCCAGTAAACACAGTTCAGCTATGTGGCAAAGTCATGGGTGGCAGCTAAAATGACTTTTTTACAGTCTACAAAAAATAAAATAAGGACACAGCCCCAGACGGTGTCGCCTCTGCGGCCACTCCACATGCACAGAATCTAAGATTGGTCGCGGCTGGCTGGGTGGCACCGTTTTGTTTTGACTATACAACAAACTTTTTTTTTTTTCAAAAGTATTTGTTCAGATAACTTAAAAATAATACAAAAATAAACAATGAATTTGACTTTTCTTCAAAATAATAAAAAAAAAGGATGGAAGGCTGAACAATAGCAAATGTCTGAAGTACAAGTGAAATGTAAGAACATTGGTTCATTTTAATGGAACAGATTAAAGAGACAGTTCTTGGCTTATGTTCTTCCCTGTGTCACAACACCGGGCCATGATCAAAAACCAATACAGACAAGAAAAAGAAAAAGGCAGGAAAAGCAATGTACAAAATTCCAAAGATAAATACAATATTTATAATTGATATGTTACAAAATAAAGTCCCTTAGCAACTGCAAGTGTTCATGGGAAAGTAAGTGTTGTATGAAGACCGTTTTACCCCTTATTGACACATAAGGAATAAAACTTGTTTTTCTAAATATTTAAGTGGATCTGAAAAAAATTCAAGACAAGTGTATAAATATTTAGCTACAACTTTGGCAAAATCACAAAAGTCTACAATTTTATAACCACATACAAAACACATTAGGGAAGAAGGATCTAGAAGTCAAAAGGACAATTTCTGGTACAAGAAACATAGACCTCACAGTAGCCTAAGAATGCAATAGTATACAGTGCTAGCAAAAGTTGAAAAAATGTTGCAGGTCGCACTTGCTTAACAGGAAGCTCTAGCAGTGGGAGAATATTGGAACCAACAGACAGTAGCATTTTTTTCTCTGTCAGTGTGCTTGTTGAAGGCAAGAGAATTCAATATCAAAGTTACAATTTCTAACTACAATAAGTTACAAAGTTTCGTTTCATTAAGATGAAGTTAAGCAATGATAAACCCTCCCTCCCTCCCTGCCACCCCAAATTCTCCTAACCATATAGTCATCCTTTGTTCCAGTTTGATGGCTCATACCTCCTTGGCCCCCTTTTTTCACCACAAAAAAATATTTCACATTATAGAGATACACAACCATTGTGAATCTAAGTATGAGTACAGAAAAATGTTGGGAGGCATTTTTCCTCAGTGTTTCATGGTCATCAAAATGGTGCATTCACGAAGTTTCTCCCCACACAGATAGCACGTACTAGACAGCCAAGACGGAGTCAGAAACTTTATACAAAATAGGCGTTGCTTTGTTTTCCTTAATCTTCAGGACTGAGAAATGTGAAAATATGAGAAAAGTTCAGTCAATAAAATGGAATTGTTCATGAAGGAGTGGGCTGTTTGCATGTTGATTCTTAATAGTTTAAATAAAATCTTTAGACAAAGTCTTTGTAGCATCTCAACTGCTGCTGATACTGTGGAAGATATCGTTTCCATCAGCGCGTCCTAACACACTACATGTGTCCCCTGAAGTCCGGCCTTGGTGCTGGGTGCTGCAGAAGGTAGACAAGAGTCCCTCACATGGGTGGGACTACCAGCCCAGACATAGCTGCAACAGAGAAGGGAAAGCAGTTAGTGGCGGCCACACACACACACTCCCTCAACATGGGCCAGGACTCGCCCTTTCTCGGGCTTCACTCACTGAGGAGGTGGGATTTGCACAATCCTCCACCTGCCAGCCTCGGGCGTGCTGGGAAATCTACTTCGTGACACAGGGGTGCGTGGGCGACAGTTTCCCACAGGCAGCCCCCCTCAAAGGCTTCTGACACTCTCGTGTGCAAGACAAAGCTGCCACTTAGCACACGCCTCTGCATTTTGTTCAAAGTAAACGGAGGCCCAGATTTCCCAGAGGGCTCCTCTGTCAAGAGGTGGGAACCAGCCTCGTCACTTTTGTGATGCTGTCCTTATTACCGTTTGTCCTTAACTGAAAACCCAGCTCCCTCCATGTCCCCTCTGCCTTCGGGCCCCGGAGCTGACTGCCTGTTGCTTGTCCTGTAGCGTAATGGTGAGTCAGGGGCTCTCAGATCAAAGCCGCTGGCGGCCCACCTGTTCTGGAATCTCAAGGCCGAGGGCCACACAGAGACACAGGCACCGCCCCGCCTCAGGGAGCGCTCAGTCTTCTCAGATTAAGACAGAAACTGTGCACTACATGCCGAGTACAGCTGAAGCTTTGGAGTGAACTCCTGGTACGAATGTAATTTAAAATCTTTTAACTCTGGTGTTGTTTAATTTTTGTCAGAATGATCGTTCTCATTAATTTATGTATAACATATTAGTACATTTGTTCATGTAGTGATGTGAGCTTCAATTTCTCAGTTCATTAATTTCAACAATATTAATTTATCTCCGACTCACCGTTACAACTTTATGGTTTAGAAGGCCTGTGGGTGTATGCACTGCTTATGTGATACCATCTCTCAGTCGGCCTTGACACTGTGGCCACAGACAGGGCCCTGGCACCTTACCACTCGCCTGCTAAGCAGTCCTGGCTTGGTGCCCGCTGATGGCCCAGAGGCCAGTCGGCGGCGCAGGGGCCTGGGCGTCCCTTCAGACACTGACAGGTGTTGTGAAGATAATTATTTCAAATCACTGATACCTTTCCAGTTCCTTTTTTGAGCATTAGTTCATCAAAGTGAAATATGCCACCGACTTCACAAAAGGGCCAGTTTGTCTTCTCCACGGCTACGTCCTCAGCACCCAGCAGAGAGCCTGGCACATAGTAGGCGCTCAGTAAATACTGGTTGAATGGATTCATTTTTTTAAAGGAGTAACTGGATTTGATTTTCACCGGGAGGAGCATATACCAAAGGTGGTGTCTGAAAGAGGCCAGATGACGGCCACTTAATTCAAGTGCCTGTGGGCTTCAGTGCATCCCAGAGAACCACGCGCAAGCTCACGAGGCCTAGGGATACCCATGTGGCTTTGTCTGCTGCACACGCCAGGGGCCGCACACAGCCTGCACTGCACAGGGGATAGGTACGGGGTGCCTGCTCCACATGGCCCCATATGTGGACAGCTGTGTCCAAGCAGTGCCCCCTATGCCCTTGGGCTAGCCCTTCTCCCCCTGCATCAAAGGAGATCAGTTAGAAAATTCAACTCCTGTCCACAGAAAGGGTATGGCCCAGCACTGGTGCACGGATAGCTCTGGGTCTGGATGCATGCCCCTTTCTAAGGGACAAGAGGGCCTCGTGGACTTGTGGTCCATTAGGCAAGGTTGAAAAGGAAGGCACAGCCTCAGGACAACAAGAGCAGCCTGATGGGTTGCTGGGGCACTTTGAGCCCAGGAGCCAGGGGCAGGGATATACCCTTCACCAAGAAGGGCCAGCCCTGGGCAAAGGCCTGCTTGCCCAATGGGGCTAAAAGTCATCACGGCTGTGTTCGGCACAATCCCATTTCCTCTCATGTGGTTCCATCCCTTAGGGTACAGGGTGCTTTACTGTGAGCACGCTAGGTTATGCAGGAAGGATGAGCTGATCAAAAAAATATGAGCAAGAATGTGGTACTTGTCAGGGCTCGAGTGAAGGGGCATCCTTCCATGAGTACAGGGCTAGGTAACTATGGACCCGTGGAGCGCATGCAATGCACGGCCAAGTGAGGAATCTGCGAATGGCCCAGGGGAGGCCCAAGCTCCACCCCATGCCCTCCTCACCTTGCAGTCCGTTCCCATTGGCGCTGGTGCAGGAAGGAGGAGGCGAGGCTTGAGGCCGGACCACAGGCGCGAAGGCGCTCTTCTGTTTCACTGCGGAGATGACATTGGCAGGTGAGAATGAGAAAATGCCGTGTGTGCTGCTACAGTTTGAAGGGAGGGTGACCGAAGAGGCTGCCATGGTGGGGCTGGACGGCACTACTGCAACAAAGCAAACATGGTCAGCGCGCGCGGGCCGTGGTGCAGCGCCACGGCGAGAGCACCGAGGGCCTCGCCTTGCACAGGGTTGGGGGTGCCACAAAAACAAGACACAACATGCTTCTGGCTTGGCCACTCTCTGGATAACAGGCAAACGCTTTTGTGTTGGGCTTTCTCTTCCAATTGAGCAGCCCCATTTTGTTCTGATTTTTGTTTTGGGTGCCAATAAGATGGCATTGGGGCCCATTTTGGGTCAATTTGTGGTTGCCATTGGGACGCCCAGCCTCTGGGGCCACCCTTCCTTTTATCCAGTAGCTCACATCACAGAACATCCAAGCAATGCACACACTCGACTTTGTAGTGAATATGAATCTGCGTGATGACGTGTGACAAAAACAGACACTTACTGCCGTAGGGAGAGTTAGCGGAGGAGCCATTAAGAAATCCAGGCGAGCCAGGGACCCCTAGATTGGCCATGGCGCCACTTCCATATCCATTCATGCTAGTGCTGACTGTGTTGTAATTGGACTGCTGGGGAGTACTGCTGGGGACGTATCCTCGCGGGGACACGCTGCTTGTATTGCGACTGTAGCCGACTGTTAAAATGCCCCCCCGGCCAAAAATAATGTTATTATCAGTGACAGACACTTGGGGGGGGTTTCCCCGAGAATCTATATCATATATTAAACACTTTTAATTGACCTTTTGCTCCTTCTCGCCCTGGTGCCTCTAGCCAGCTCAGATAACCTTATCGTGCCAACCCTACTGCGGCTGTCTCTTTGGGGAACCCTATTCTGTCTCTGTTGGCTTCGACAGCCAGCCAAAGCGCGCTTCGATCTAACCGTCAGTTGCGTTCGCATTTCTCTTTAGAAGCAATTATCAGCAGCTGGGATGCCTGGCCTGTCCCCCCACACTCTCTGAACTTTCTGCCTCTTCAGGCCTGCAAATGCCATGGCTGACAAGGGGAGCTTGCTTGTGGCCATGACTTTCCTGAAAGGCTGTTTTGAGGTCCTCGTTTTTATAGCTGCTATTTCTGTGAGAGGGTGAGGCGGCACCGAAATCATCTTCCCTGCCACAGGAACACGGGTGAGCAGGGGCAAACCGGCGGTACAGTGGAGATGGGTCTGAGATTAGTGTCTGCTCAAAGGACACATGACAGTGAGCTCGGCAGGCCTGGGTCACTGTGCTGTGAGATGAAGTTCAGGGTTGGAAAATGGGATTTCTTCCCATGGAGATGATCCAGACTTAGAACCCACATTCTGCCTGTGCAGCATATCTAAGAAGACTTCTACTGGCTTCCTACATCAGCCCAGCCTTCTAAGAAAGGCAGTCATCAGTAAACTAAGGGACGCTCTTAGCAATACCAGGGAGCCAAGTGGCAGCCCACAGAGCTGCTGTCACTAGTACTGCATTTTCTGAGCCTTCTCCACCTGGCACTGCTGGAGGATGTGTAGCAAAGTCTTCCCTGAGAGAAGGAACCAGCCAAGCCGGAGGGCATGAGATGCAAACAACATTCCCCAGCTGGCCCCCACCACTTTCAACTGTAGCTGAGGCCCCAACCAGCCTGAGGGAGGTCTGGGGAAGGGACAGTCCAATGCAGGGGCCTACCTTGGTCATTGGCTTGCGATGTCTCTGACACATTGACGGCTAGCTGGCTGCTGAAGGAGTTCACGCCCATCATGCCAGTGTGTGCTGGAGTGTTGCCGAGGGTGGGTATCTGGTTGTGATTGCGGGGGACACTGTACAATGCCTCAGCAATGTCAGCTGCTCGCTTCAGGATGATCTCCTAGAGTGGGGACACAGGAAAGCCCATTACCCAAAGTCAGGCTCTGCTGGCTACAGTCATGCGTGCCATGACCCTGCCTTGTCCTCCTCTACTTGCATTACTGGGACACATGGTGGTATTTTACTGTCTCTCGGCCTAGATGTGACAAAAACTTACTTACAAGGAAAAGAACCTCACTTCTAAATGGGTACCAGAATCAAATATTACTTCTCCACTCCCTGGAGACTCCCTGGGCCAGCAAGGACAGGCTGTCCACCCTCACCTCCCTAAGCCCTGGAAGGAACAAAAGCAACCCACCCATCACTGAAAACTGTGGGCAGATTTCAAGTTTCACCTTTTCCTGGGACATATTTTTCAGCTTCTGGGATTTCTGAAGAGCAATATAAGCAGGTTTCTGCCTTGTCCTTTCCTACTTAGACACCTATGATGAGGTCCACATGGAACCCCTCTCAGCAGACTCAGGCTCAGAGTCCTCCCGGCACATGTGTGCCTAGAAGTCGTGTGCTGGAACAGCCAGCTGGCCGCTCGAGGATGCTGGTCACTAGGGAAAGGGGCAGGTGGGTCAAGCTGCGATCTGCCTACCTGGTTGTTGTGAGGCATTCCGTACAAGGCTTCCACCAGATCAGCTGCCCTCTTGAGTAATACTTCCTAAAGAAAGCAGACAGGATTTCCCTGGAGAAGCTGCATGGACAGTGAAGCTTTCCAAGAGTGAGCTACAAACCCAGTTACATCTGCCTGGAGAAGAGATACATAACCGACCCA